TTACGTGTTACCAGGGTCGCGTGACCTCCGCTGTTGTACAGTATTCTATACTAAATCCAAAGATGTTAATAGCTTACGTATTGATTTACTTGTCTTTACAATATAATTCAAGAATTGTTTCATATTATTTTAATATGATCTGAATTTTCTAAACACGTGTATCATTGTTCGATTTTCGAATGACAGTGTTCCAATTTAATTTTAACTGGTTTAGTGAACTTGTAGGATATCGATAGCTCCTGACGAAGCTATAATAGCGAAATATTGAGCTAATAAAGTCATGGAGATAGAAATGTATTATAATAAACTCCAGTTTGCGTTACACAAAGTTAAGAATAAGAATTATTTAGAGTTTTAGATACAACTGTGATGTCCTATAGCGTAAAAACTTCTGTACATACGTTTGACTTGTTTTGAATATATTATCTTAAAACAAGTTGATTATGTGCTGTCCATTTATTTTTCACATTTATCACCAACAAGGCTGTACACCTACTGTAAAGAATCCAGCCCCATAAAACCTGACAGGCTTGTAAAACATTGAGACATTTTCCAGGTCAGAGAGCCTTGCTGTAGTTTCTATTATCGTTTCTAACTTCCTTTGTCATACATGCTTCATAATATGTTTTCAATAATAAAGGTAATTTATGTATTTCTTGAATTGTTTCTGTTTTCACATCACACTGTCACCTTAGCATCATGGGGAAATGTTGCATGGGGATTGCTATTTGACCAGATAATACAGTTGTGCATGTTGACACTTCTAGAAACAAACCGGCGCAAGTGAAAATGGGTGCAACAGAGCACATTATGCCGCTTGATGTCTGTGTTTGCCAATTTTAATTGTTTCTAAGACTCTCACCTTTGCAAGTGTTTCCTTACAAGCTGCATGGTTTTCAAGCACTGAAAGAGACAGATTCAACCCGACTAGTTGATTTTGCTTTGTAGTTCTTGGCAAAACTGGAAGTCGATGACCAATGACCAATGACTTCTGCCATGACATAACTGACCAAAGCAATACTTTTAGCAAGTATCGATGGTCTGCATATACGTGGCTTATCACAATTGCAACCTGTCTCTTCAAATATTTTGGTTAACTTGCGCACGGCAGCACTGGAAGAATGCTCTTTGTGCATGTTATATACTCTACGGTATTCCCTGATAGCTGCTTCTGCATTGCATCCTTTGGTATAATAGTAATATTTCACTAATTTTCATCACTACACACTTTTCAGTTTGATGTTGATTGAATGAGTTACACTGCAACTGACAGATCCATTTATACCCATGAGAAACATACGAAAGAAACCACAACGACGACCCTTGTGGTAACATATAGTATTTGCATTCCCCTGTGCAATTTCACTTTCCTATATGATAATGTTTGTGAGATATGACACGCTGAAATGCAGTTTGTTTGATTGTTTTGAATTTCACGCAAAGATACACAAGGGTTATCTTCGCTAGCTGTCCCTAATTTAGCAGTGAAAGACTAGAGGGAAGGCAGCTAGTCATCACCACCCACTGCCAACTCTTGGACTACTATTTAACCAACGAATAGCGGGATTAACTGTCACATTATAACGGCTCCACTGCTAAAAGGGCGAGCATGTTTGTTGGGACGGGGATTCGAACCCGCGACCCTCATAATGCGAGTCAATCGCCCTAATACCTGGCCATGCAGGACCGCCGTTGAAATGCAAAACTTTTTGAATAATATTAATTTATTATTATTATTAACATAACTCGATAGATGACGCTATGTCAAATGAGACACATGCTTTTGTACTTGTAGTATGAAAGTGTGTTTGTAGTTAGACAATATCTGTTTATTATTGGATATCAGTATCATCGAAAATTTAAAGATGCCTAGTTATGAATTAGCAGTAATATTACGAAAAATGAGCAGGGTAAGTCTTGTATATTTTCAAGTAAAGTCAAAGTACTAATGATTAGAAAATTTGCAACATGGATCAGGCATGCAGATGAATCTTTAATTTTCTAGAGTCATATATTGGTCATTTATTTTACTTTTTGACAAATAAACTGCATATTGAAACTTTAAGACTAACTGTCATAATACTTAATATGCAATTCAACGTTTACCAAAGTAAACGACCCAGGGGGACGCCAGGATTAGGGTACAGTCAATAGTGCAATATTAATTATTAATTTAATACACAATTTACCTCAGCCTCGTAGTCATTTGAAATTCAGCAAACTCAAAGAGTACAACTAAATTTTCATCGAATGAATTGTATACCTCAAACATTAATAATATAAATGATAAGATTATTTTATCAGTATTTGAAAACGAAATTGTATTTGAGTGAATGATATTTAAACTTATAATTTTATTATTAGAAGCATGTCTAATTTCATATACTGGTGAGTCTGCAGTGTTCTCGTAACTACCACAGACAAATAGTACAAGAAATGGAAATATCAGAATAATGCAAGAGTGATTTATAAACGTGACCAGCTTAAGCCAGTTAAGGACTTAATGTCACAATTTGTTGGACAGAAAACATGATGATTTGATTGCATGACCCTGATGGGTTCTTTAGACTGTATTTAATTAATTAGGTGTGGCAAATACAAACACACCCCTAAATTGTACCATTGCACCTATAAAACATATTTAAAAGGTGTAAAAACTGGCTCAGAGACCACTAGAATGTACCATTTTCAGTGAAAATTACAAAATGTTTCTGATGAAGCATGCCCTCATTTCTTTTTCTTCCAAAAGTAGCACCCATCTTTATAAATTTTTCCTATGCTCCCATTTACCAAACTTTGCATAAAATTATTATTCCAAGTATCTCTTACATCTACAAATATTCTCAGTATGAAGACTAAAACAAAAAATATTCTGGCTACAAATGAACATTCCACATTTTTGTTTTTCTTATGAAAAACACCATCTTATGAAACCATTAATTCTTTCTTGATTCAAAAATGTTATTTCAATAGGTACGTTTTGCTCTGCTTATTGCCACACATCATATATATCTTGCATAAGTCCAGCATTATTTCAATGGGAAAAAATCATTTATACCTTTCTTAAATCATATTTTAGAAGAAATCTTTATAAAAGTACTTAAAAACTGGTTTCACAAGATAAAGAGTACGAAAAAGTTAGCAAAAATTGAGTTCTGTCACATTAAAAATAAATAGAAGTGATGAATGTTTGAACACATAGAATGCATGATATATCTTCAAGGTTTTCATTTTCATGCTTTAGTCTTTACACCGAAAGGAAAAAAACGATCAATGTAAATCTAAGATGCTTGGGTGTGAATTTTACTAGAAACAACACTGAAACAGTAAACTCAACTTATTTCCATATGATAATCTCCCTAAACCTGGAATAATCCTGGTAACTTCTCTATTGGATATTCAGATTTGGGTGTTAGGAGTTGTAGGTTTAAGCTTTAGAGTCTCAGCTGCAGATTAATTTGCTTTAGTAGAATTGGTTATTTATTAGTTATAAACTTCTGAAATGGCTTACTTTTTGGTGAGGTAGATATAATTGAATTCTTTTAAACTTTTACAGGATAGATATGAATGTAAAAGGTAACAATTTGATTTTGATTATTTAATTCCTTGTTTTATTAGATGAGGTGTGACCTCAGTGGTTTGAGTAGCATTTTGCCACCTTGCTGTTTCTTAAGTTATATGCAGCTGGTCAATTTAGATATCAGAGACATTCAATGTTATTGTTGCACTAATGTTCATATTAATGTTCTTTGACTAGAATTGTCAAATTTTTGGTGTACATTACTAATCTGCAAGTGGTGATCTTTTTCACTACTGTATTGATTTATGTTCAAGAAATGTTCACTAATGATGAGTACAGTAAAAGTTAATGAGATAAAACCATGTTATGTAATGAGCATGGTAACCTGACAACTGCCCTCATAGGAAAATTGTTCCCAGCAGTCATATCTTATTATATTAATATGACCGACTAAAATAAGAAAAAAAATATTGTATTTCATGGAGGAATGAATTATTTAAAACTGTATGTTTCATGTTAAATTTTGTTTATTGCAATACAATACAAAGGTTGAACTCTGCAAAGTTATATAATGTAAGTACACTAGAACTGGAAGTTATGAGCTATTCCTCTCAAAAAGTCCAACAGATGTGTTATTTTTCCTATTTTAGTCAGTTATATTAATACAAGAAGATATGGCTACAGTTGTCCTACAATCGTTGAACATATGACTTGAGTATTTCATCTTTAGACTTTATCAGACCCAAGTATGTCAGCTCATTGAGATTAATGGTAAAGATTATCACTGAATAGAACATATTATAGCTTTAGGTGGAAAATGCCATCAGTGTACATTTTTATAAATACATTTCTGATAAAAAGAGAATTAGGTGGAAAGTTAGCTTCAGAAACTCTTAGAATCAAAGTGTGTAAGATAGAAAAAAAGTACACTAAAATCAGGCATACTTACCTCTGAAATGCTGAAGCCTTTCCTTATTGAGTTTGAACTTATGCTTTCAACTAAATGTGACTCAAAATTTCTGAATGTCCATTACATATTTGCATACCATATATGTCAGTTACCCATAATACTTCACTTTTCCACTTTCTACACGAGTTATTATGCATGTGTCAGTGAATATTAAATAGCTTTTCTTCCCACCATAACTTTGATTTTTTTTTTTAACAGTCATACTGTTCATGTTGCTATAATATTCTTTCTGATGAAAATGTCTGTTATTATTGGACTTTCTGTACCTTCGTTGGAGGCGTTACTTATGCAGTTTGCCTGAATGTGTAGTTCTGTGTATTCCTGCCATTGTATAGTGATATTACTGATAGGTGTATTGTTTGTTAGGAGGCTTTGTTTGCATGCTGTTTACAATTTTTCTCTGTTTAATGAATTTTGTTTTGAACAGGCATCATCGCCTTCTTTGTCTGCTATAATTACAACCCTAATCTTGAACACTTCTGCTGGTCTCAATTTCCTTTGCTCTCAGCTGTGTTCTATATTTTCAATATTGTACCATTTTTAGTTTTGCTTGAGTGTGCTTGTGTAATGCGATGATTTATGTACTTGCAATTTTATTTCTACCACCTTCTCTTGATTTCGTAGGTTAGAATAATTTTCAGAACTAGTTCTGTATTCATATTGCATGCTATAATTTGGCTTAGTTTGAAATATTATTTTTCTGCACCATTATTGATTCTTCTTATTCTCTTATTTCTTTTACTCAGGATCACAATATGTTCACATGCCTACCCTCTTCATCTTCTTTCTTGGGTATTAACCAAGGTCAGTTGGTCCCATTGTTCAGATTTTCTTTCCCAGGCTGGCCTGCCCCAACATGGTTTTTATTCCTCTTAATTATTTCAGAGGAATCCTATTCTATTTCTTTTGCTACATTTTCAGAATGATTTTTTGTGATATTCAGCTTCAAGGCTGCCTTGTATGTGGTTTTTTTGTTAGTGAAGCTGGCTCCTCCTTGGGTAGCTAGAATGTTATCACATTCTTATAGACATCTCGGACAGTCTATTACATATTGTTGGTCCCTTTTTTTGGAATTGATGCCTGCAGAATTAGGTTTTTATCTTTCCCTAGCTTGTTTACAGCTTGTCTCATTTTTTTACATGTACCTTTTCATGATTGTGGTTTGACTTCTTATCTTGCATGTTACGAAGCTGCATGATCAGCAACTTTCTATTGTCACAGAAATGATGTATCCCCTGCTGTCTCTATTATTTTTCATGGTACTCTGTGGGAATTAAGTCTGGTCTTCAGTTACCTGGCTTTTGCTTTTGTACCTTTGCAACTTATTCACTCAATTTCCTTTTCCTGGTGATGTATTTTATTTTGTTACTAGCTTGAGGGTGGAAATGTTCAGACATCTTTGCCATTTATGTTTCTCTTACTCTTGGAAGTCTGTATTTATATCCAGATAGAGACATTCTACTTGAGACTAGGCTGAGGGAGATAGTCACCACTGTTTTTTCTGTCAGTTTCTACTTTTGCAAGACTAGAATCTTTTAAAAAAATCATTGTTGGTTGCTTATACCTTATGACGATTCTTGTTCCAGAGATCTTGCTTTATCACATTAATAAATTGGTTTATGTGGCTGATTCATATTGTTTTGTTACCCTTTGGCTCAGTAGTACATCTGAGGGCTTATACTACTAATAATTGGGTTTCAATATCCAAGGTTGGCACAGTACAGGTGGTTCAATGTGTAGATTTGTGCATAACAACAAATAAACACCCAAACTGTCTTATTTCTTGTGATGTTCCCTACCACATTAAACATGAATTTCAGGTTACATCTCAACATATTTGATATTTGGCAATTGTTTTGGCCTCCAGGTCTCTGTACCCTTTAGATGTCATTATCGAAGTGGGTAGGGGAAAGAATCTGCATAATATTTCTGATACGATATCTTCCCTCCTCTCACAAAATAGCTTTTCTCGACTAGCAGTGCCCTCTATCAGTGCAAATTTTCAATGCACACCACTAGCCTTCCACATCCCACTTCTGCATATCCACATGCAAATGATCATGCAGCAGTTTTCCACTAATAGGAGCATGACACACAGGTACCTTTATGCATTCATGTGCATGTCTTTGCATGACATTAAAGATTTCACTTGATGTCTCCACTACAATCAGGATGGGATTTGCCCATGATTTTTTTTTTCATGCCTTGATGTTCCAAATGCACTGTCTATACAATATTGAGCCCATCCTTGAGGCCAGCTTGGGTCTTTAATTTCTCCTTGGGTGCCCACTAACTTGTCTTGATTGTGACTGTGTAGCCACCTTGAATATGGATGAAGATGGGCAAGTGCCTCTGGAGTATGTTATTTCATAATATATTGGACATAGTATCCCTCCTACCTGCTTATGTCACCATCTGTATACCATTGTAGGGCTCTGCCTGTGCTCACAAACAAGGGCATCACTGACAAAGAGGTACTCTGCTGAGAAAAATGCCTTGTTTTTCTGAGTGTACTCTAGTTCTCAGAATTTGTTTCTTTCATTCTGAATTCTGCTGAGACTGCTTATTCTACATTTTATTAATCTGGATAGCTTACATTTCCACCATGTAGCTGTAGCTCATTAGCTTCCACCTCCTTTATAATGTGGACATTCTGACTTTCAGTATTTTGGAGGTAAGTTGTCTAATTTGAATTTTTAACTTTTACTTTAAAATAAGTGTAAAATGAATCTTCATCACAACTGCAACTTTCAAACAAATATACTTTATGGGAAGAAAGTAGAGCTGATGCAAGGTCAACTGACAGTCACATGGTACTTGGGAGAGTGAAATATTATGGCTAAGTAACATATATGGTGTGCAAATATGTAGAGGACATTCGGAAATTTACAGTCAGATATTTTGTTGACAATATGAGCTCAAACTCAACAAGGAAATACCTTTGCCATTTCTAAAAATTTCATCATTATCTCCATTCCTCCAGAACTCTGAGGATTTGGACTGTGCTCATTCTTCAATCGAAAACTGATAGTTTCAAAGATTTCTCTTTAGGGTTATTTTTTTAGGCTGAATGGTAAAGAAGCAACAGTTTTTTTTATTTCTTCCCCTAAACTACCAGACAAGTTTTATAATTCTATCATTAAAAGCAATACGTGACTGTTAGGATTTTAATTATACACAATATTGGAAATAGTGAGGAGAAGAAGTATAAAAGGCAAATTCTATGAGAATGCCACCCCTTTATTGTGTGAAAATGAAATACACTGGAGCACAGTCATTTGTTGATAGTTTGTACTGTGAGTGGTCCTTGAAAAAAAACTGTGGCAAGGTTTCATATTTCAGTAGAAGCTTTGTACAAGACTGAAGAAGGTATGTGAAACTGTCACATTAATTATAGAATTGTTTAAGGTAGAAAACCAAAACTTTCCAAAAGGTAGGTTAAGTATCATAGGTAACGTTCTTCAAAAGGTAGATGACAGTCAAGTACAGATCTTTCCAATAACTTTTGCTATAAATACAGGTACAAATGTTACCTCAAGACTATTAAGATACAAATTAGCATCCAGTAGCTTTGATGAACATATAACTGCTAAAAAATTATTGCTAAGAGAAGGTAGCCAAACCATAAGTTTGAAATTGGACATAGGATCACGAGTAGTGGATTCGACAAAACTGGAGTCATGCACTTTCTGCATATAAGCCTAAGTTTATATTGATCTACAACAAACAATGGTTTGTTTGACAATAAAGAGAAGAACAGTATAGTGTAGTCATTGTACATCTGCCATAAATCCATGATGATGGATAATTGTAAATTTGGAGCTGTGTCCCAGCAAACAGTGTTGGTGATCTACAGAAAATTGATATCACTCTGATTTGTTTACAAGTGTTTGCAGATTCTGACCCATCCTGCTATTCCGTCTAAACATAACTCAGTTGGTGGGAATTCATCTTCCAGAAAGACAGAGATCCCAAACATATTCAAATATGATGAAATAATATCTTCATGATAAAGAGATTGATTGAACATTCACAACCATGACTTAGCCTGTGCAAAGTCTTGATGTGAACATTCCTGAGACTATACGAGTTTATGGGGGAATTGAGGAGGTCAAAAGGCAACCAGGCAATTTTTTTGAATTGTGGGGAATAATACAGAACACTTGGAATGATATTTCACAATCATACATTGATAAACTGCATGTAGCATGAAAACAAGATGCAATATTCTACATAAAGCAAATATAAAATAGTAGTTCATTGTAAATCTTAGTTGCTTTCTCTTGTATTTTCTGCAATAATGTTTTGTATCATTGATAAATTCACCATCTAGTTGCCATTAATCATTGTTTTTTTACCTCTGTATGTGTACTTATGTGCTTTCAGAATTTTTTCCATTACTGTATATATGTATATGTCTTAGTCGATTCTAAAATTTTTATTTCCTACAGTTTTATTTTACTTCATTTAATGGATTGAACAATATCAATTAAAATTGATATGCGGTTTTTACCATGCTAACTAATATTATTAATTGCAAAATCTGAAGTTGTTTATGTTCAATTGTTTGATCAGTTTGAGTTGAACAGGTGATATATTTACATACCTAAATAATAAAAATCAGTTGGGCTTCCTTTGATTATCTAGTGGACAATAAACCTTTAATAGTTTGATATATATGTTAAAAAATAGTAGTAAACTATTCAGAAAATTGATTGAGTACCAACTTTATTTTTGACACTTTCTTGAGTATATGGTTTTATAATTCTGTGAGACCAAGTGCATAAAATTGCAAGATGGAAAATTACTAGATCTGAAAATAAATGAAAATAAGCAAAGAAAGATAAGATAGTTTGTGCTAACTAGGTCACTCTTCATCACTAAAATAACAAAACCAAATGAAATATAGCTCTTCATTTCCATATATATGTGTATTCAATAAAATTAGGAAAAAAACTAACAATGTATATCACATTTGCAACAGACCTTCCTACAAGTGTATCTCATCTATTTAGCAGAATAAGCATAATTTGTTCATATTACTTTACGGATGCACAAGGGTACGTATTTTTTCAGTTTACAGGAAATATTATCCCACACCATATGATGTCATAGCATGAATCCTTCATATCTTACAGAAACTATATGGATATCTAAAAATTATATTATTCAAAGTTAAGAAGGTTGATGATTTTAACATAGATTCAACTACATGTATAAATTTGCATAACATTTGTTTATAGGTCCTATATTTCTATTACAATGCCCATACTTTTACTGTTTTATTCAATAACTTGGTAAAAAAAATGTGGGATAAAATTTAAGAGCAGCTGATTCAAGTAATATCCACAACAAACTGGATTTGTGTACAATAAATTATATTTAGCACAGGATTATACTGATTATGATCAAAAGTTCAGAAGCATGATTTTTTGTATTTTACAGCCAGAACTGGTAACCACGTTAAAACGAACTGGACAAGCTATTTTTGAAAAAGGTGGTATCATTAGAAAAATTGAAAACCTAGGTACCAGAGAACTACCTTATCGTATGCGTGTGCATAATCATTCACATACAGAAGGAAGGTAAGGATTCTTTAAAACTGTAACTTGCTGAAAATCTATCTGCAAGTTGAAAAATATGGCTTTTTATCTGGGTAATGTTTTAACTGAAATATTGTCCCTTCTGTGAAAATGAAAATTTTTTCCATGCATGTCCTACATTATTTGAAATTATTTTGTATATGTCCACTCTATTCTGTACAAATTGGTTAAGGTACTGTGAATCATACATTTCCGATACGTTCACTCACTTCCATAAACAGATAGCTATTTTTCTTTTGAATCACGCTTTCTACCACTAGCTGTATGTAAACTCCCACCAAAAAATGCACGTGATATTTTATGCAACAAAATTCTCCACCAAGTAGAAGTGTGACACACACCTCCTTGTGCAAATGCTTTCTTTAGATTTATGCGTGAAAATCCTAATTTTTTTTCTTTGGCACAGTTGTGTTAAAATGTGTTTGTCATTATAGAGACTTGTCAGAGTTTTTAACTTCAACAACTTTACTTTGTGTCTTTAACTTATAAACAGTATGAATTCACAATTTAACATGAATTCTTCATCTACTGATGTGAATGAAAATAACACTCACAATGACCAATTTACAAACAATTCAGGAAGTACTTTGTATGTGGAGGACATGACAGCCATCATATATCTTGTAGTTGGGTCCATGTTGATGCCAGGAAGCTTTTTTTCCATCCCTGCCACACAATTCCTTTCGTAGGATTTTGAAACTGAAGTTGTAGAGGGTGAAATGGAATGACATTTTCCACCTCCTGGCTTTGCCTTGGGTATCTCGATTCCTTCAGAAGAACAAGTTCAGTCCTCTTCTGGCTTCCAAGAACTTACCACCCAGATACGTACCATTTTTTCACTTTCCCTCCATTATGTATGAAATTTCCTGATTAATATTACACAATCCTTCCTCTCATGATTTCTTTGATTTCTTCCCTCCCCTGATATTTCCATCCATGCTACCTCCATTCTAGAACAGCTTCATTCTTGCAATATTATGTCATGTCTTCCATGCCTGATAGATTCCTACCTACTGTCATTCTCTCTTTTCTTTCCTAGACACCCAGACCTTGGCATCTCTTTTGCCTTTTCTTTTTGATTGCACATTGAAACTCCTTTTCCCTTTCTCTTATCAGTTGGTTCTTTTGTTCTTGGGGCCTCTTGGATAGAAATTTCCTTCTTTTCCATGCTCATTTACCCTCTTTCTTCCTCTGTGACCTTTGTTTCTCCCCCTTTCTCCACGAGGAGGTCTTTTGTGGAGTCACTGATTCCCTGGAATCACGAGTGTCAGAAACTTATTTTTTAATAGTATATGTAGTAATGTAAATATATGGGTGTGTTGGGCTAAGAATTATTCTACAGTAGGTGTATGTGACTTGCTGGTGATAAGTTCGACAATAAACGAAGAGCACACACACTCCACTTGCT